CCCCGGGGGAGCAGGCCGGCAGCACCCCGCCTGTTCGCCCCGCATGCTGTGTGCCACAGCGCTGTGGCCGGCCATGCGCCCACTGTCGCCCACTGTTGCAGATCGTGCCCGGCAAGCTGACCGCCTGGTGGCCAGACGAGTACAACACATTCACCTGGTTCAATCCAGACTTGGGGCCCTCCCGCAAGTATGCGCGGGTGATGCTGGGGCGGCACGAGGCGGGCACCCTGGGGCAGCCCCCGCGGGAGAACTACAAGCCTACGGTTCCGCCCCAGATCAGCCCCCCTAGCTACCAGGGATACCAGAGCTACGCCAGCCCTGCCAACCCTTACTGGCTTGGTAAGCAAGGCCTGCGGGCAGGCCACGTCCCCGCTGTGTGCTAGTGGTACAGCCACACATGCTGTGTGTGACAGCAGAACAGCTCCCCTGCCACCCCAATTCCCAATTCCCAACCCACAAATTTTACTTTTTCGAACGATCGAATCAATCAAAGCGCGCCCGCGGATATTCAAACAGCCTGCAGATATTTTCATATCAGCAGACTGACTTTTCACCCACCTGTCACAGATTTTCCCTCGCCCGTTCGGTTTTTTGCCGACAGCTGGCTAGCAGCCAGACTATATAAGGAGCCTCGATGCCCTGACAAGATCATCTTTTCTCTCCCTTTGTGCTGGAGTGCCCCTGTGTAATAACAGGCGCCCGCCGCCCCAGCCCCGCCCGAAGGAGAAGGATCCTGCCGCTGCGACCAGCGCTCGGCAGTCACCCCAGCGCTCTCACGAGGCTCTCCGCTCTCACACAAAGACAAAACAGGCCGGCCGGAACCTTCTGGACCCGCGCCGCCTTTTTGCTGGCGCCGAATCGGGGAAAGTGCGTGGTTGCTGTGCCCTGCACGACCCCAAAGTAACCGTGTGAAGCGATCAGGACGCCCTCCGAGCTCTTCCGAGACAGCGCCGCCACCACATGCCTACCACCGCACCCTCAGCAGAAGCGCGGGCGCCCTGCCAACCCACGTTCAACATGCAGGTGGCTGTCTCAAAGTTCTCCGGTTCTGCAAAGGAGAATCCAGAGACCTTCATCCGCACGGTTGAGAGCGCGAAGGGCCTCTACAGCTGGAGCGACGCCCAGGCCATGGCGTTCGCCG